TGGCATAGCACCAAAGATTGCAAATACCTCACTATGGTGCACGTAGAAATTTTCAAATTGATCACCTACAGATATGGCTGCAGGTGAATTCGTGATAATGAAATCAGCTAAGTATACTTAACCTCACAGGCTAGAAAGGTTTACTGATTCTTCTTTCACCCGGCACCCAATGTGGGTACCCTCAGTAAGACTCAGGGAGCCTTATAACTCCTCTTAACATATGCTTACCCATGCTTAAATTCTAGGGAAGCTGTATCCACAGCCCTCTTCTATAATAGCATTGCAGCCATGACAGCTCTCACGCTTTCAGCCTTTCCATAACCTAATTTAGTCGTTTGGGCCTCTCGAAATGCTTTTGTTTAAATAGATCAGTCAGTAACTGGGAGAAAAATACAGAGCCAACAGGTTTTTAGGGTTTTGTTTTGCCTTTGCTGCTAATTTTTTGAAAATACAGTTCTTCAATTATCAAGATTTTAAAAATCGGTTTTTAATATAAAGCTTTTTTAAAAATGAGGCTGACCCAAGTTCGGTGGTGTTTCTCCACTCCCACTGCTTGATTTGACTAGCCTTGAAAAAATAATAGTAAAATGAAATATTAAAAAATGATTAGAAGATGCTGCAAAGGCAATGACCTCATTCTATTAAGTAAGATAGTTAAAAATGATAGTAATTGTAGTGAAATAGTTAATTGAGTTATTTGTAAGTTTTATTACTGTTAATTGTAGAGATTATAAATTAGGTCATTAGGTTTCTGAATGGTGACACAATAATGATTGAGAAGATCAAAAGTCAATCCTCATTAACTAATGTAATATGCAAATTAAAATATTTTAATGATCAGTAATTTTCCCCCCAGAAATTATCTTGGTATTCCTAAGTAAATTTCCTATAATTTTAGCATAGTTTATGAAATATCTTATTTGAATAAAAATTTATGTTTACTGAAGTAATTTTCTTCTAAAATGATATTATTGAGATTGGATATAAATCTCATGAATACATTTTAGAAGAAAATTAATGAAATTCCCTCCCAGGCAGTATGTACCAGAAGGAAAACTGAATTAGCAGTAAAACAGTCTGTTCATTCTAACTACCTGTATGATCTTGAACAAAGTCACTTAGTTTCCCTGGGCCTTGATGTCTTTCATCTATAAAATATTGTACCAGACTATCTCTGAAATCACTTCTAGTTTTAATATATATAATTATCAATATTTTAAAATTCAAGCAATATTCATTTTAAAAATTATTATAAACAGCTAGCATTCTATAATAGTAAAGGTTGAATTTATTAATATAACAGTTAAACACGTTCAGCTGCTTCAAGCAGACAATTGATACTTGGTTCATATTCTTACAACCTAATGCATGTTATTTTCACCAGAAGCAGACGGAATTTATATTTAGGTTTGCATCTGGAACTAGATTATCTGGCACTTTATGGCCATTATTTTTGGATTGATGGACCTTCTCCCCACACAATTTCCCCTTTTATTTTTTTGCATATCATATGTTGGCTGGTATTTCTCAGAGGTGTCCCTCTTTCTTCATACTTAATATACATCTCCATTTACATCTTTGGTTCTCTGAGGTCAAAACAACAATAAATGAGAAGTAAAACAACTATATGTGTTTGTATTTACAACTCTATCTAAAAGTATATAACCCTAGTTTGCCTTCAGAGTAAACTAGGCTGAAGAGTTGTTAATAATGTTGATTAAAATGCCATTGAATCCTTTCTTCAACAAATATTTATTGAGTACCTAACATGGCAAATGCTGTGCTAAGTACTAGGGATACAGAGATAAGTAAGACACATTTGCCTCCCTGAAGGACTTCACAGTGTAGTTGGTAGAAGAAACACTAGAGCATATTCCGTTATATAATTAGTGCAGTAATTGACATGAGTTTATAGAAACTCAGAGTGGTACCTAACCTAGTCTAGAGAAATTAGAAGAGGCTACCTAGAGAAAGTAGTGACTGAATTGCACTTTTGATTAAGGATAAGAATGAAGGTTATGGCAGTTATTGACAGATTGGGTGCTGTGAAGAAACACCAGATGTACAACAAGCTGTGTTAGGTGTTTGTCAAGAATTACAAGCAATCTGGTGTTGCTGGTGTATCATAGGCGAGGCAGGAAGTGGTAAGAATTGAGACTACCATTTTAAGTTCTTAGGAACAAGAAGAAGGGGTCATGTGTTCCATGTTTGGGAGCTTGAACTATAATCTGTAAGCAATGAGACATCATTAAAGAGTTTTAAGGGGGGCCAGGCGCAGTGGTTCACACCTGTAATCCCAGCCCTTTGGGAGGCTGAGGTGGGCAGATCAACTGAGGTCAGGAGTTCAAGACTAGCCTGGCCAACTTGGCGAAACCCTGTCTCTACTAAAAATACAAAAATTAGCCGGACGTGGTGACAGGCGCCTGTACTCCCAGCTACTCTGGAATCTGAGGCAGGAGAATTGCTCAAACCCAGCAGGCGGAAGTTGCAGTAAGCCGAGATCACACCACTGTACTTCAGCCTGGGTGACAGAGTGAGACTCTGTCTCAAAAAAAAAAAAGAAAAAAGAAAAACAATAAAAGATTTTAAGGAAGGAAATTACTTTTATTGGGGTTTGGTTTTATCAGTTTCATAATCCGATTAATCCCACCATTTTTAAAAGATGAAATTGCTTTCATTAGAAGGCTATGTAAAATATAATTTGATTATTTTAGGGTCTATTATTAGACTCACATTTCTTTCTACGGTCTCATTATTATTTCCAAAAATTACACAGTAACCTAAATCATCTAAAAACACATAAAGCTGCTGTATTCCTTATTAGACCCATCCCCAGAGTTATATGTACATGTACATACTTTGAGATGTGTTTTGTTCTTAATTGTATTGGCCTAAATTCTATCGCTATTTTAGTATTTGTTAGGTCCAAATCATTTAGAATATTTTTCAGTGTACAAAATGTGCTGTAATTTAATAAGGCCCCTTGCTTTTGAAATTTGGCTTAACCTGTGAAGCACAACTGCTTCAGAGTTACAGAGAGACATACCAATTGGTCCACTGGATGAGCCCTGTGGTTCTACCTCAGGTAACCTAGTTTTAAGCTAGCTCAGCAGGGAGTGCTTTAAGGACTCCAGCTGATCCTAGTGCTGAGACCAAAACTTCCTGGACATTGGGCGCCCAAGAACAGTAGGTTTCTTATGCCAGTGTGAAAATAATCCCAGTTGCAAAGACCAGAGTCTTCTGACCTCAATATCGCCTCCTAACTCCTCTAAAAATAGGTATAGCGGCAGAGAATTGGGGTGCCTCTCCTACAGCACAACCCATGATGCATCCAGTCATGCCTGGCCCCACTATGCCTTTTGCACAAGTTGGGAGGAGTTGGGGCAGTGAGCATTTTGCTAGCTCTGTCTCTTTCCTGCTTCTTGTGCCATTTATAGTTCTTGCCCTTGAGCAACAAAAGTAGAATAGTACTAGTGCCTTAACTAAATTTTTCTCAACCTAGATTTTCACCTGAGACAATATGGTAATATTACTAAATTACTGTATATCAAGATAGCAAATTTTCTGGGATACTTTAAAATCAAAGTTATATCAAAGATCAAGAAGCACCCATAAAAGCTTTATGAACTTTCACAAAATAAGTGAAAATTCTTTGCTTTTATGGCCATGTAAAATGTCATTTTTATAATGGAAGTGTCTTAATTTTCAAACTTAACATATACTTTAAGCAATTTTAATATTTAAACATTGGCAAAATTGTCTTTTTGAATGTGAAATTCAACTCTGGCAGTAGGATGTTGCAATAGTGATCTGGAACTATGGGGCCAATATAGCCACATGGGGTTATTTAAATTAATCAAATAAATGAAAAATTTTATTTTTCCTGTTGCATTAGCCACATTTTAAATGCTCAGTAGCCACATGTGACTGGTGGCTACCATTATTAGTGCAGATATAGGAAGAACATCTCCATCATCTCAGAAACTTCTCTCTAGACAGTTCTGGTCTAGGAGATAACAATAGTTCTTGGTAGAAATTTTGACAGGCTAATGACAAAATGTTTGTAACCCTGAGCTTTGCATGCCCAAGAAAAATAAGGCATTCTTTTTTATGTATCAGACCAGAGAAGCTGTATTCAGCACATTTTGAAATGCTAGTTTTTGGCTATGGCCATACCAGTCTAAATGTGCCAGATCTCATCTGAAATGCTAGTTTTCTGACTACAAAAACTTCACAGGACATAGTAGATAAGCTCAGTAGAGCCACTTAAAATAATTCCCTTTTTTTTCCTGATGAATTCTATTACAAAACCAGGTCTGTGTTATAATAGAAAACACACTTATGAATTAAAATCTTTAAAAATTATAATTTGCAGAAATTAGTTTTATTTCTAGATTTCTAGGTGGTATTAATGTGATAGCATTAGGTGGAACCAGAGAACTCATTTGTTTTGTATATTTCATTATACAGATTATTTAGGAAATCTATCAGCAAAAGTTTTTTTGTTATGCTTATCTCTTGAAACAAAATATTTATTGTACAGATTATACATTGTGATTTTTTTTGTTACTGAATATATTGTTTGCACCCAGAAAAATCTAAAAAGACATAGGTTGACTTCTAAGAGACTTAAGAACAAGTCACCTCTAGTTTATAAGACAGTTCCCCCTGATATTTACCTATCCAGTACCATCTCATAAAAATAACTGCCTGTTATTATCAAAAAGTTGAGAAATGGTGGTAATGTGACATAAACTTCTCATTGTTCTTCACTGAGATAGAATTTCTTATCTTGTTATTGATAAATTCTTTAATTTCTCCTGAATAATTAGCATAATCTCATGTGTTACAGAAACATCTTAATTAGCAAATAAAAGTAAATTTATACAAAGGAAAACCAATAAAAACCTTAATGTGTGTTTAATAAAGTAACTGATCAAAAATGCAGCTGTGTCTTGCTTTGTGAGTGACGAATTTTTGAAAAGCAATATTACAAACTGTTTCAAATGCACGCTTTATTTTTATTGCCCCATCTCTCCAGTAAGCATTTAAAACACAGAATTTTTAGTTAATAAGCAATGTAGATTTGTGTTGCATCCATTGTTTTTTCTTGAATTATATCATCAGCTTCATAGTATGTTTCATTCGTTGCATTTGATGCTGCATTTGAATTGAGGGCTTTGGTTTTTTCATTTGACTTGCCTGCAGATACACAAACCAAAATGAAATAATTATTTGAAATTATGACATCGAGTTTCACTTATAAAAATGTGCACTTAAAAATAATTTTTGTAGCAATATTGAAAATATATCCTGAAAATGTTATGTGTATGAGTGAGAATTGAGTTATTTTGAAGTGGTTTTTGAGTATTTCTTTCTGAAAGTCAAATAAGGGAAATAGTAACAGAAACAAAAAAATTGATTTCCATGCTTACCTTTTTCCTCCATGCTTCCATGAGGAAAATACACATTTGATAAGAAGGTAACAATTTCTGAGTGACTTAACAAAAGTGTGACTGTCCCTCTCCTATGCATGAACTACATTAAAGCCAATCATAATAATTTGCACAACCTTAAGGCTTTGCCATTATAACTGATTTAGATGTGGTTTATTAAAAGGGCACAGTTGTGCCACAATCCCATTCACTCACTGCATATAAATATGAGTCCAAAATGAGCAAAGGTAAAAGAATATGGATCTTTACTGATCGGAAGTTAGTACTAAACAAACACAGCAAAGAAATGGATTATTCAATGAATAGTGTTAGGAAAGTTGAATGATTGTAGAAATAACTAATGTATCATTTCACCAATAGAAAATAACATAAATATGTAAAGAACAGTGGAAGAAATCACAGACATTACTAATGGCCTCCATGTTGCCAAATGCACAGTCCGGTTCATTCTCATCTTATTTGATTTCTTAGCAGCAGTTGATCCAGTTCTTTCCTTGGCTTCCAGGGCACCATTCTTTTTTACTCTCTGCTACCTTACCATTACTAATTACCTCCATGTTGCTAAATCCACAGTCCAGTGGCCAAAAACCTCTGGTCCTTGATGCCTCTCTTCTCTCTCACCCTACATCCAATCCATCAGAAATCCTTGTTGACTATGCTTTTAAAATACATCCAGAATCAGACCACTTCTCACCATCTTCACTGCTACCACTATTCTGTTTTCAGCACAACATTCAAAGAGCTATTCTTTAAAAACTAAGTTGAATCATGCCCTCTGCCCAGAACCCTCCATTCACCCAAGTCTTATACAGTGGCCTACATGATTTCATACACACACCATTAACCTCTCTGACTTCATTTTTTTCTACTTCATTCTTTGGTTCACTCCAACCTCTTTGATTAAACATTTCAGGCATGTTCCAGCCCTTGGGACTTTTGCACTGACTATTTACTCTGTCTACTATGCTCTTCTTCCAGATAATCTGCACAATAACTATCTTTTTTCCAAGTCCTTCCTCAAAAGTCATCTTCTCAATAAGACCTACCCAAAGCATTATTTAAAATTGCAGCCTCCATATCCCCATCACCAACCCCTTCTGCCCTCTATTTTTCCCCCAAAGCACTTATTAACTAATATAATTTACCTATTTATCATGCTTATCAGTTATTGTCTGTCTTCCCTCACTAAAATTTAAGTACCACATTCCAAGAAATTTTTGACTATTTTGTTCATTAATGATGTGTCTATAAAAATGCCTTGCACATAGTTGTTCAATAAATATTAGTTGAGTGTATTAATGAATTAAAGGATAAGACAGAAAACTTTAAAACTGGGTAGCAAAAGACAAGATTGAAAACCAACTAGCAAAAAATATTTAGAGCAAATGATGCATGTCTAATATGTAAAGATCTTACATATCAGCATGTAGGGCATTAACACCTTTTTAGTGAGTGAAGAAAGTGACAGAAAAGATAAAATGACTAATAAACATGAAAAAGTTTTAATCTTGCTAGTCAGAAAGAAATGTAAATTTGAAAGGTGAGAAACAATTTTTCATCACTCAGGTGAGGATAAAAAGTAATTTTTCTTTCAACGGTGTAGCATGATGGGAGTGTAAATTGGTGCGTGCTTAAAGGTGTCAAATGTTCCTACTGTGTAATTTCACTTTAACAAGAAATTCCCAAGGAAACCATCAAAGATGAGATCTAAAACTTATAGACATCTTCTTCACTGGTCATTTTCAATACCAAGAAATGAAAGTAGCTTAAATTTCCAATGATAGAATTGCTAAATATCATGCCTGAGATACCATGCAGCCCTTTAACTTAAAAAAAAAATAAAAATGGTTTCTAAGAAATGTTTAATTACATGGAACGTGCTTAGAATACAATGTCAAGTGAGAAGAATGTAAAACTGTCAGCAATATAATAATAGTTAATACTTACATAGCACTTACTCATAACATTATCAGCCTGTCTGCTAAAGCCCTTTAGGATCACACATAAACTTGGTTAGGCTGATGATCTGGTTCTGCTTTCCTCTTCTGGCTCAGTTCACCCCACTCCCTTCCTTGTCTTTGGTGGTTCAGATACCCACAAGTCCTGTTTTCCCCAAACTTTCCCTGGTGTCTCCCTCTCTGCCCCAAGCCTCTTCCAGTTGCCTAGTGTCTCTAATTCTCCAGCCTCTTTTGCTTGAAGAATTCTCCTTCAGGTTTTAGAAAATCTGCCACAAACCTCCCTAAGGGGAAGTCCATTAGCCAAGACTCCTTCCATTAGAAGTAGCTACTGTACATCCTCTTCTTTTCACCATACAGCATATCTTCTGGATATGAGTTTTTAATTTTTTTTCTTCAGGTGAATCTAAACCTTGCCTTTAAGCATGCCAATACTTCCTGGCTTTGCATATTAATTGCTTTCTATAAGTAAACTGCTTTTTGCAAGTAAAAATATATATTAAAGATACTTTTCTATAAGTAAAATGCTTTCTAGGATCGATCAGGACATCCCTCACTCTGGGACGATTTCATGGTTCAACACTCAAAGGACAGTATTATTTACAAGTTTTGAAAGATGTCTCACTGCAGCTTCCATATCTTACCCATAAGACTGAAACATGCATGGTATTGATCTCTAGGCTAATATTAGAAGCACTGAAATTTAAAATCTGGGGCCTAGAGTGGCACAATAATGACTTTATTTCAATTACTTCTCTTCTGAACTATTTTTGGTAGTAAAATAAGTTACTTTCTACTTCTAAACATGCAGTAAGTATAATTTGATTTTTAAAAGCTAATTTGTTGTAGGCACAGCATTTGCCAGCCTGGAAAATAGCCTTTGCCCAATCAGCAAGCAAAGCTATTTAAAATAAATATAGTAGAGAAAGATGGCATGAAAAATTTAAGAAATAAAAAATTATTGACTTTGCAAAGCAAATATTTTCTAAAAATTAGATTCAGATTTAACAAATAATAAACAAGGTTTATGGAAATTTTATCTTGTCAAGATGATTAAAAAATCAGGCATTTTATAGATTGTTTTCAAGATTTTGAAAGACAGGTTTAATTGGCCTCATGCTGTCTTTATTAGGGCTTATGATTTGGGAAATTAAGTCTTTTCTCTCAAAGAATAAAGGTTTTCACCTGTTTTTGAAATCTTTATGTTATCACCTTGGTTAAATGAATGACTGACTTTGCAATGACCTGTGATCCTATTTCATGATATCAAGCCTTTTAAACTTTTTATACTTGACACACTTTCCAAAGTCAAATTCTAACTTGGGTCCTCATTAATTTTTTGCCTTTAGTCCCCAGAAGTCCAAAAGAGACATATTTGGCTTATTGGTATAGAAATCATACAGGAAGCATTGTCAAATATGAAATGGTGTTTGGTTTTCTTTGGGCTATATTTGTATAAATGTTATTGGTGTGTGTGCCAAAATTATAGGAAACTCCTATAATTCTAATATGACTTATTGTATGTTATTAATAATTATAATTATGTAAAACTGTTGTATGCCAGAGAAGTAACAAATTGCTAGTCAAATGTGGTTTTAATAATGGCTGTCCTAAGACTTCTCTTGTTTTGATCCTCTTCAAAAGGTGGTTTATAATCAGCTGTAGGACTTTGATAGGTGCTCTTGAATGCAGGTTTTTAATAACTTTGGAAATTGTGACATTAGAATAAAAGAAAAAACTTTCAGGACTCTCAGAGAACTGAAATGTTCACCAATATCAAACAGGACCAGAGTTAACTGCATGGACTGAGCTAAAAGAAGACTGAAGTAATCTTTTTTACTTTTAGCTTAAAATGTTGCTGATCTTTTGTTTTTCAGAGTGAAAAAAACTTATTTTAAGCTATCTACAGCTTTTAACAATTGAGTAAAGTATACTCCTGTAAACAAAATTTGGAGCATATTTCTCTCTTCCTTATTTCTCCAGAATTTGGAAACTATTTGTGAGTTTTCTTAACTTATGGCAATATAGTTATTTGCGTAAGTGCAATAAGAATGTTTTCTTTTGCAACAGGACACAATTGGAGAAACTGGTTGTTTCACCAAGGCTTTGAATAGAATAGCATGCTTTCCTTTAAGGAATCAAGCTTAACCCATAGAGCCAAAAAAAGCCGTTTGGGGAAAACTGGCCTCATACCGTGTCCTCATGGTTCCTGCATAGGGCTCCTAACCGGCTCCTAACCTGTGGTAAGTAAAGAATATCACATTCTAACAGGCCCAGGAGGTCCAAGGTATCTTGGGACCTCAAGAGGAGAGGAAATTACACAACTCATAGGTATTTGAGGATACAAACCCATGGCTGGGCTCAGCTTAAAAAAAAAAAAAAGAAAAGAAAAGAAAAAAAGTCTTATCTGAGATTCCTTGAGTTTCATCAAAGCCAAATTTTAAAAGGCTATTTGAAAAATAATTATCCTTGCTGCCCTTTATACAAATAATCAGGCCAAGCATAAGACTAAATCTTATTTTTGCAAGCAAATCAGTCCTATTATGATTTGTTTTTAATAAAAATGGGAGACTGGAGAGAGAAAAACTATGTTTCAAAATGAGCTATAGTACACTTGTTATTAGATTCTAGTCTTGCCTAATGTTTTTCAATTTTTATTCTTTTCTACAGTTTGGACTGAATTCTAAAATTTTTCCAGGCTACAAGTCTCCAAAATAATGTTTTTAATTTAATTTTTGTTCTTTCTTTTCCCTTTTTTCCCTAGTTTTTCTATGTTGAAATCACTGAAAAC